AAGGCAAATGGCATCTATCTATTGGTTTTATGTATTGAAAATCTTGATAGTTTCTTCTGGGACTTAAAATTTATCCTCCCATTTCTACCCTGACAATTAAAGTCTTTGCTGAGTAATCCATTTTATTAGAGTTCCCTTAAATGAGGATATTTTTCTCTTACTGACTTTAAATGTCTCTTTTCTTCTTTGTTATTAGACAATTGGGGGGGGGGTTGGTAAAAAAATTGAAATTTTGAGGTGCCTATTAGCTTCATTAACTTAGAGGTCTCAAACTCCTGGAATTTTCAGCCATTGATTTCTTAAATAAGCAAACACACTTATTATCTTAAATAAGTCTTCTCCTGGGGTCCAAAACTGATAAGAATTTTTTCATTCATTTTTATTTTGGCTCTCTAATCATATTATCTACATTGATCTATATTCTAGCTCATTTATTCTAGCTCACATATTCTCTCTTATAAACCTACTCATATCTGCTATTGCTGCTCTCAATTCTTCAATTAATCATTGTTTTGTTTAGCTAACTATGGGGTCATTGCCAACTGTGGTAGGCTATGAGTCATTGTGCTCTTCTATGGCTTCATACTCTACCCTTTGGTAATCATACTGCAGCAGAGACCAGCGACAAGTTTGGGCTGGAGAGCATTCAGGGCAACAACTGGATGGAATAATTCCAGGAGAGTACAGTGGTTCCTGATATTGACAGAAGGCAGGACTGCATCTGGCACTTCAGACATTTGGGCCTCGATGTTGGTGTGTTGTAAATTGTCTCGACTCTTTCCCTCTGAACTTGTGAACTATATTGAAGGTCAATGGCAGGTGGGGCTGGGGTCATGGTACAGCAAAACTGGAGGGTTTATCTCTAGGTGGCATGATGTTGCTGACTTAATCCACACCAACTTAATCCATAGCAGCTGATGGATCCCTGGTTGTCACTGTGTGCAAACTTGGCAGCAGACACTCCTTGCTGTGGATCCCTGTTACAGTAAAGGCGAATGACAAGTGTCAGATGGTAGCGTATGTGCACATCTATAAAGGTCAGTCCCAAGCACAGGCATATGGGTAGTATCAGCTGAGGCTACTTATGTACATATTTATGAACCAGAATTGGCACTTTGAGAAACTCACTACATCCAGTGGGGGCAGCTGACTGATACCTAACACTTGTGCTGCCACAAGGACCTTGTGGTATGAGGGCTGGGGGATGGTAGCTGAGGGGGTAAAATGAGAAGACCCAGGGAGTGGCTGAAGTCCTTAAGGCATTAGGAAAGTTAAATCCCTGTGGGAGGCTGCTGAGATCCATATACAGGCCAGTGACTTCATCACTGAAGAGAGTTGAGTTTGTCTAGAGGGTAGGTTTCTGTGAGCCAAGACCAGCCCTGCTGTATGTTTGGCAATAATGGCCTTTGCTTTGCTTCCTTACTTGTTACAGTTTCTTTTGCTGATGCAGTTTCTTTTGCTGGGGTGAAATCAAAACTGGAGCTCTCTACAGTGCGGGGAGAGCTAGAAAAGTCTACTTGCTTTTCCTTAACCTGCTTTTCCTGTCCTAGAAAGGTGAAATCTTCCTAGCTGGATAAATGTTGATAACTGTGGATAAATGTTGAATCAGTGATATTTGTTGAGTGTTCAGGGGTAATGGAATATTTTACATGACCATTCCCCCATGGTTACTTTGGTTATTAATGTTTTGTTTTTGTGTGTGCGTTTTTTGTTTGTTTGTTTGTTTTGTTTGTTTGTTTTTGGGTACGGGAACCACACTCTGCAATGCTCAGGGCTTATTCCTGACTCTGTGCTCAGGGATCACTCCTGTCAGGGCCCTGGGCTCCATATAGGGTGTCAGGGAATAAATTCTGGCCAGCCACATGCAAAACTACTGTACTATCTCTCCAGCCCTTACATGGATTATTTCTAAGTGATTGCCTGGTAATTCCAATTTATGACCATTTGGGAGTCTGCTATAATCAACCGGTTTCCCCAAGACTTAGGATCATGTTTTCCTAGTTTTGGGTTTTAGTACCTATTTTTTCATACCTCAAGTAATTTTTTTAAATTATGTGCCAGCATTATTGGTAGGTTGCTTTAGAGTTCCTGTATTTTGTTCACACATTTGGAAAGTGTTTTCTCTAGCAGTTGGCTATATTATTTTCAGGTCACCAGGATGCTGCAGCATCTGGGTTTGGGACTTTTTCTGTTTTTCAGGTGATATTAAATTTGTTTCCCCTTGGTCCCAGGGAAAGTCTTCTGGTTTTTAGAAAGTTTGTACTTTGTACCACATATCAAGCACAGGAATAACTGAAAAGAAAGTGGACCTTTAATAAAACAACTTAAGGTAGGAAGAATGTCTACCCAAAAGCTGCTAAGGAAGTAAGGATATCATTTTATACCAAGCAGAGATACTGTGGTGTAAGGGCTTATGCATATTGTAGTTGTTCTTCAAAAAACTCATAAATCTTTATGAGAGAACACTGATGTGCAGTTGAGGAACACACAATGAACATATATTACATGTACAGAAAATGTGCGAGAAATGCCACCAGGCTGACAGTGCTCAGGACTTATTCCTGACCCTGTGCTCAGAAGAATCCCCTGGTTATGGTGGGAAACTTATGCAATGCCAGGGATCTTACCAGGTCAGACCTTGTGCAAGATAAGTGCCTTAACCCCTGAAGTATTTCTCTGACCCCCAAGCTATGTTTTTCAATATGGTAATAATAAGAAATGTGTGTACAAGTTAAAAAGAATTCCACTATCTGGTACTGATTCCACTGTTCTCCCTGCATTAACATATGCCTCAGAGTCCTGGGCCCTATGTAAACAGGATGAGAATGCTATTCGGGTCTCCCAAAGAGGAATTGAAAGAGCTATACTTGGAATATCACATTTCACTCAAATGAGAGAAAGAATCTGGAGTTCTGACATCCATCGACAATCAAGAATCAGGGACGCTGTCTCGTTTGCCAACGTGTCAAAAATCAGATGAACTGGTCACGTAATGAGATTTAAAGACGACCGCTGGACTAGAGCTGTTACCAACTGGATCCCACAGGATGTCAAAAGACCGTGTGGCCGCCCACCTACCAGATGGTCAGACTTCTTCATCAAGATCATGATCGATCGGTTTGAGGCTCTTCATGTTCCCAGAGCGAACAGATGCCATTGGGCTACACTGGCACGTGACAGGGACGAATGGAGACGTTACTGGCGCCTGCTCAAGCAAATCGATGACTAACGGGAAGTTAAGTGATTAAGTGGTACTGAGGCAAAACAATACAACACAGTGGCTTCCCTGAGAGAGATATCACACTCTCCAAGTTATAAGCCTCAAACCGTCTATTTTAACTTTTACCCTAAAAAATCTTTTTCCTAACTACCTGGTCTTAAGTTTTAGTATGTGGGGGGAGCAAGGAAAAGGGGCAAAGATTCAAAACACTTTCACACTTGTAAGACTTCTGTAGATTTCCAATGAGAACCCAACTTATTTACCACTCAGCCTCTCTCACTCACCTCCAGACCCTTCTTCATTTGGTAGGCAGACGTGTAAGCCTCTTCTTGCTTCTTCCATCATTGAAGTTATCATTCCTGGCTCCAATGAGATAATACAGCAAGCAAGGCACTTATTTGACTTGCACATGGCAGACCCGACTTCCATCCCCAGCATCCCATATGTTCCACTGCACACTCATTGGCAGGAGTGATCCATGAGCTCAAAGCCAGGAGTAATCTAAGCATCACCAAGTATAGACCCCAAACAACAGCAAAACATTATCATTACCTCTAGACTCCCCTAGAATCATGTTTAAAAAGGCATAGTTCAGGCTAACATCGAGGAGAGGAATTTGTAAGTAAGTGCTGGATTGTCCTGCAGATGAATCTATTATATCTAAGATTTTTCTTCCTCAATATTTCAGGATCTTTGCCAGCCCAAAAGCTCTAGTGCCTGATAACTCAAATCCCCAAGATTGTGGCTGCCACCTTATATCTGTATTAGAATATTCATTCATTCATTCATCATCCTGTTATTCGTCGATTGCCTCGAGCAGGCCCCAGTAACGTCTCTTTCATCCTAGCCCTGAGATTATATTCAAGGCTCTTTAGGAGAATGAGACCCATCATTGTTACTGGTATTTGGCATATTTGGTGCTCCACGGGGAGTTTGCCAGACTCTGCCCTGTGGGCAGGCTATATTCGATAGCCTGCAAGTTTGTCCAGAGTAGGAATGAAATAATAAAATATCATAAAAAGATGTCCTGATAAGATGTCCGGTTTCGGGAGCTGGATTTTATAGTCTCTGAGTCTTGGCCATTGATGGGATTACACGGCGCCAGGGGGCCAGGTGGTGGGTGTGACCCCCGCCTACTGGAATTTGGAGGATCTGGGTGGAGGATGCTCGACTCCAATTCGAGTAGGCTTGGAGATCTCGGCCCTGGAACCCGCGTGGCTTTGTCCCTCTGCCAGTACCTTCATGTGTGCGGAGAGTGGTCTCGGCATGGTGGTGGCTGGTCCTGGAGGTCTTTGGCTGCCGGAGCCCTGGTCGGGGCGGGGAGGAAAGCTCAACCTGCTCCCCTCCAAGGGACCCCAGAGAGGAACAGCCAGGCGCAGGGGCAGGAGACTGACTGCACTGGTCTCGTCCGGGAGCTGGATTTTATAGTCTCTGAGTCTTGGCCGTTGATGGGATTACACGGCGCCAGGGGGCCAGGTGGTGGGTGTGACCCCCGCCTACTGGAATTTGGAGGATCTGGGTGGAGGATGCTCGACTCCAATTCGAGTAGGCTTGGAGATCTCGTCCCCGGAACCCGCGTGGCTTTGTCCCTCTGCCAGTACCTTCATGTGTGCGGAGAGTGGTCTCAGCATGGTGGTGGCTGGTCCTGGCGGTCTTCGGCTGCCGGAGCCCTGGTCGGGGCGGGGAGGAAAGCTCAACCCGCTCCGCTCCAAGGGACCCCAGAGAGGAACAGCCAGGCGCAGGGGCAGGAGACTGACTACACTGGTCTCGTCCGGGAGCTGGATTTTATAGTCTCTGAGTCTAAATACTAAAATTGGAACGATACAGAGAAGATTAGCATGGCCCCTGTGCAAGGATGACACGCAAATTCGTGAAGCGTTCCATATTTTTCTTCGGCAGCACATTAGAATATCCCCAATTAAAAAAAATAATGTGCGTTTCCTGTTGTCAAGGATCAGATCCAAATTCAAGACTGGTTTTGTTTTGCTTCTCTGTGATTCTATTGGCTTGTTTGTTCATTTGCCCTTTGATTCTTCTGGAATGATTGATTCAGTGCAAACTATGGTAGCGCCTAAACTGGGATACCTTGAGAAATCTTTATTCATTTGGTTACCAAGTATTCACTGAGCTTCTCTTGCACTGTATTGCACTGTATTAGCCGCTGGAGATGAATTGTGAATAAAAGAATAAAGGAAAGGTGATGGGAGATAGCTCAGAGAGCTGGAGTACACGTTTAGAATGGAGGAGTTTCTGCATTTGAGCAGCACTGCATCTTGGGGTTCAAACACTGGACAGTCAGGCCCACACCACTGAGGTAAATATTACCAGCAGTGACCCAATGGACCCTATTTCTAGCCAGGAAGACCACAAAATATAAATAAATAAATAATAACGGGAAGGACGGGGGTTGAAGAGTATAACTCATCTTTGTGGAACGTACAATCTTACAAGAGAGATTGATAAGGAAATCATACAAGTAACTCTACAAAAGAGCATGCATCTTTGAGAACATATGATGCAGTCATCTGAACTGATCAAGAAGCAGTAAGATGTTCCAGGAAGCTATACTGGAGCTGCATCTTACTCTACTGCCACTGGAAAGTGTTTATGTGATCATAGAAGCTGAGTCCCCTTTGCTGAGGTCATAGTCACTGACTGGAAACCAGGTGATCAATAACCATGCATGACTGTATCCATCCCAGCAGAGGTGTTCAGTGAGAGGCATTGAACCTTATATGTGAGAATGAATCCTGGATTGCATCTGGCTCTGAGAGTCTCCAGTCTGTAGAGTTGTGATTAGATAGCAAGGAGGCACAGGCAGATATATCACTCCCACTCCGGTGCAGGTATCTGGCTACTTCCGCCACTTTGATTAGTGGTGAATAGATATAAATGACATAGATGGGCTAGGATCTAAGAATCCCTTTTTCTGCTGAATTATAAAAGAACCAGAAAAAGAAAAAAGTCCTTCATGGATTAGAAATTCTGTGGGAAACAACACAACTGTGAGACAGCAGATTTCTGCTCCTTCACTGGGGCTGCTAAAAATTCAGGGGTAGAATATGGAGACAAAATATGAAATTTGGGGAGTGGGAGGCAAGCATTTGCTCCCCAAAACCATGCATAAGAGGGGAGAGAACCCCTGTTTCTCTCTTGTCATTGCCTCTTCTTCATGTTTTTTTATGAAGATTTATTCTGAGTGCTGTCAGCCTTATGATAATGTTTTCTCAACTTGTTTTATAATTATGAAATAATTATAAGTGGATGACGCAAATACTTTATCCCTCTCTTTCTTTTGTGCAGTAGACATTTCACCTGAAATTCCCATCCTTATGAAACAGTCCTTGAAATAATTTGCCTTTCGTAAATCCTCTCAGTCTTGTAGGAACATGAAAAAAATTATTCTTGAAAGTATTCATTCTTTTAACTATCAATTAATTATATTTTAGTTAACAAAGGTTGTTATTCTATAAAAACTTTTCAAGAAAAAGATCAGGAGAGTAGGAGGAAAGATATTAAAATATGCATAGCCTGTTACTAAAGCTTCCCTGCTAACATCCAAGGTTAAGCCCTTAGTGCCTGTCAACAGAAGGGGGAGTGGATGGGAGATAGCTCAAAGAAGCATCTAGATAGGAAACAGGAGTAGCTGACTATGGTCCTCAGAGTCACTGAACAGATAAGGCAATAAATGAGATCTTTTGAGCCATTTTATGTGGTGGAATTGTATAAAATATTAGACATAGATATAAAAATGGAACTTATTCTTAAATGAAAATCATTTATTCAGACTCACACAAAATTGCCTCTAACTGCAGTGCATGCAGTGCACCAGAAGGTGAAAGGATACATGAGGAGAGGCTGTAGGAAGGATAATGATATCATCCTGATAGCATTACTGGGAGGAAGATGGAGTAAGGAGAAGAAAGACTCAGGAGATATTTGGAAAGAACCAATGAGCAAGTTTGGTGATTGGAAATACATTTTTATTCAGGCTTTCCATTCTCATGTGTATATTTCTCATATTATTGATATCTTCAATATACAGATATTATACTATGATTATTTTTAGCACTGGGATTTATTTTTGGAATCTGTTTTAAAATGCTGTGTGATATTCACGAGGTTTATGCATACTGATCGAATCCTGCGCTCACTGTACAATGCTGAAATGTTTCCCCAGCAGAGTAAATCCCATGACCATAAGCATCACTGTGTTCTTCCATGATGACAAATAGAATGTTCTATTAGTCCATGGGTAGTGGTTCTGGGGGTAACTTATGGAGGAAAATAGACATTCATATATCGACAATATGAGTCTATTGCAGTAAAAACAGATGTTGTCTCATGTTACAAAGTTCTCAGTGTAATTACTTGATAAAGACTATTTCCCTAAAGAAATGATAAAGTATTACAAGAGGCATATCAATGCAATGGCCATACAATTATTCATATGGACTCTTGTATTTTAGGCTAATGAATCCATTTGATAGGATTTATCCTAAGGAGTCAGATATATAGGAAGTTCTTCATGTCCAAAGATACTGATCATAGATTCTGATAAGAGTCTTTTTGCTATTATAACCATTCACAGAAGATTTTTTCCTGCCTAGAAATTTTGAGATCTTTGAAAATTTTCATCCCAGGAGATCAATGACTTTTTCCAGGGAGACACAATTTTGGTCATTCTCCATGACCAACTGCCCATTTTAAGTTTGTTACATCACTAAACCAATGATAGGAAAAATTACTCTCCTAGTTTTGTTTCTAGTTATCAAGAAGAAATTTGAGTTACTGCTACATGGTGAATCAGAAAGGACTATGCCTGGAACCTAAAGATTCTTTCAGTCACATTTATCCCCATGAGAAATAGTAAAAATTACTGGAAAGCTGCAGCAACCAAAATTGAAGCAAATCAACTAAGAATGTGGATCACATGGGAATGAAGTTTAGGGTTACCTACCTGGTACTGAACATTGATTCATGAAGGTATTCAATAAGGGAAAAGTTAATATGAAATCACAATATAGAACGTAAGTTCCCATTAATGAGACCAGAGAAACAGTACAGTAAATCTCTTCCTCTGCATGTGGCTGACTTAGGTTTGATTGCTGACACCACATATGGTCCCAAAAGTCTACCAGGAGTGATCCCTGAATACAGAAATAGGAGTAGGCCCTAAGTACCAGCAGTATAGACCAAAAGTTTTTTAAAAGGCAACAACACAAGTTATTAGTACCAAACATAACCTTATGAACAGCTACTATAGGACTGTTATACATAAGCACACAATATATACGTGTATTCATTTACATACATAAACAGTGGTCTTTGCTTATCCTTCATCGTTCTCCTAGCTATGTAAAGTTTATCAATAGTGACTTAGAACATATACAGAATCCAGTTTTTATATTTAAAGAAGAATATTGTTAGATGTTTTCACTAGGTAAAACAGGGTAAGGAAAAATGAAATGGAAGTGTTTAGACAATATACAGTCAGAGTGTGAGGGAATGTTTCTTTCCTGAAGGATTTGCATAAACAAGAGAGCCCAGGTATGAGTGACTGGTGAATAACGCATTCTGGTTGACCAGACAACTTTGCCAAAGGCACTGCTTAAATGAAATGAGCCTCGTCATTATCATGAAGTCCCTGTCATGGGAAATCTAAATGATTTTCAAGGTAATATTTATGTTAAGGCATGATTTTGAGAACAAATAGGGTGCTACTGTCCTGGTTTTATGTCTGAAAAAAAAAAATTCTCAGAGGTAAAGCTTATTATCACACTTTGCTTACCATCACACAGCTTGCACCTAATTTTGATAATTACACATAAGAATGTACCCTATTTTTGACTAGTAACTCAAAAGACTGTGTGCTGTTAGTAGCTTTTTTTCTATAAGTGTTTCAACTCTTTGAGGGGCTTGAAGAATTCTTTCTGGATAACTGTATCTCACATAAATCTGATTTTTAATATATATATCAAATAATGTCATTTAGTAAATGTTTAGATTATTTATACCATTGTCATCTAGAAATTTATGGAAAACAGGCATCTCATTAAAAAACCTTGTCAGTTACTGTTATAAGTATATTGCTCTTCCTCCCCTCACTACCTATAATCACACACAAAATCTAAGCTATACATTATAACACATACACACACGACAATCACAATATATTTAAAAGGTAAAGGTAAAGGCCCTCCCGTTGTTCATCGATTTGCTCGAGCGGGCCCAGTAACGTCTCCATTGGAGATTTTGTTGTTACTGTGTTTGGCATATCGAATACAACAGGGTGTCTTGCCAGGCTCTGCCGTGTGGGCGAGATACTCTCAATAGCTTGCCGGACTCTCCGAGAGGGGCGGAGGAATCGAACTCGGGTCGGCCATGGTGGCTGCGTGCAAGGCAAACGCCCTACAAAAATATTATTTTCTCTAGAATGTATGTTTAGGTAGCACAGTGGGCAGGGCATTTGCCTTGCACGCAGCCGACCTGGTCGGCCCAGGTTTGATCCCTCCGCCCCTCTCCGAGAGCCTGGTAAGTTACTGAGAGTATCTCGCCCACACAGCAAAGCCTGGCAAGCTACCCGTGATGTATTCGATGTGCCAAACACAGTAACAACAAGTCTCACAATGGAGATGTTACTGGGTCCGCTCGAGCAAATCGATGAGCAAAGGGAGGACAATGCTACAATGCAGTATGTTTAGGTTAACTATTGTATTTCCTTATGTACTTTTATAAAAGTGGTAGGTGACTGCACTAATTTTGCTGGAAAATGTATGTTTTAGGTGCACAACAAGATGACTCATGAATTGAGAACTGGTTGCAATATTTAGCTAACATCCATGTTGTATCAGCACAAAAGATTAAAATACAACTTCCCTTTGGAAGGG